ACTTTCTATTCATCCATTTAAATTCAAATACATTGTTTTAAACGTCTGGTGGATGGCACTTTATGTTAATAATTTTTTTTTCAAATATCAATTCATTAATTAAATTAAAAAAAATTAATAAATAGTAACAAACAAAAATAATAGTCCAAGTACACATATAGAAAGGAGAATTGTTCACTGTGTCGCTGTAACACGATAGATAGCGTGTTGGACTCCTAATCCAAAGGTCGTGGGCTCGAATCCCACCTGGAGTGGCCTAATTTTTGCCAATGTGATTTCTTCTTCACTATACTATTTTATAAGAATAATTATATTTAATTATTGAATAAATAGTAACAAACAAGACAAAAACAGTTCAACACCCTACATACAAAGGTAAATAGAAAATTGCACGGAAAATAGCTATCTATTTTGTTACTTAAGGTATCCGACTACGTTCGGGACCATGATTTTAAAAAACCGTATAAATGGATAATTTTCATGATATTTAGTGTCACTTAGATTAGAATACATGTATACAATTGTTTTAAGGACTTTATGACAAAAAAAATTATTTAAATACAATTTTTTGGTAAAAAATTAACTTAGAATAACCTTTTTTCCAAATCTCCTTTTGTAAAAAATACTTCTATTGTATTAAAATTTTCTCTGTGTATAGCTCAGACCTCTGTACAGAGGTTCCACTATGATTTTTGAAAAATTCACATTATTTTCAGAGTTACAGCCATTTGAAATAATTATCGGCGTGTTTTCTTAAAATTTCTCCCTTCTGTTTTCATAAAACATGGATAAACCCACTTCCGAGTTATGCATATTAAAAATTCTAGGTCAGCATCTGTAGAGAGGTCTGAGCTGAATACAGGCAAAATATTAATACAATAGAAGCATTTTTTTTACAAAAGGATAACATTTGGAAAAAAGGTTATTCTAAGTTAATTTTTTTTCAAAATATTGTATTTAAGTAATTTTGTTTTCATATATGAAGTCCCTTAAAACATTTGTATACATGTATTCTAATCTAAGTGACACTAAATATGATAAATATTATCCATTTATGTGCTTTTGAAAAATCACGGTTCCGAACGTAGTCGGATACCTTAATATTGTGATTATGCCCTGTGTATGCATATTTGTATTAACTGTAGCTATTTAATAAAAAGTAACTAAAAAAAAAATGCTTCTTTGTTGACCTAAATAGGAATTGACTTAATTTTTTTTTACATTACTTGCCCTTTTTAATTTTGCTTAGATTTTTTGGAATTATCAATATATCAATAAATTCTTTATGTAAAAGATAGTGAATATTTTGTTCCTGAGATGTATAGAGCAATTTTTTAAAGCGGTAGAAATCGTAATAAATTGGAGAGTATAGGGGTTTTTTAAATCCTAATGTGGCGCTTACTAGCGGTGCGCAGCTTCAATCAATTACAATTAACAACAACATAGATTTGGAAATATAACATTAATAGTTTCGTTCAGTGAAGAACTGAGTCAATGTGATTTAGACAATAGTGTTACGAATTCTGTGTATATAGTGTAAATAATTTGTATTTGGGTGTTTAAAGCATTTATATCACTCTTTGTTATATTTATTTCATGTTAAAATTGTACTATTCACAAGCAATGCCTCTTCTTACGTTATAAAGGTGATTCAATGATATCTTGGCGAAATCTTGGTATTAGAGCCAAGTTGGCATCATTTTTGGCGACTTTGGTGACTATTTTGGGGTCATTGCCAATCATGTTGGCGAGTTCGGAGCCCTCTGGATTATTCTAGAAAGTAATGGATTTCTCCATTAACATCACGCTCGATGACACGAACGGTTATATTTCGGGAAGTTTCTGCTGCGCCTATAAATAGGAGTGTCAGCCGCAACCAGTCAGTCTGATTCTAACCAGCCAAGAGTGAGGATTGTTTTGACTAGCGATTAGCTCGCCGATGCTTGTGAATAACCTTTTACATACGTGTATTTTTAAGCACTAAAAATTGTATTTGAGTGCTTTTGAAGGTGTGAAGACCTTCGGAGATTTACTCTGAGAATTTTGCTGCTGAATCCTGTATTTAAAAGATTGGATTTTTGATAATAATTTCGCATCGCTCTTAAAGGACTATTTATTTTTTTGTGATTGTTTTGCATAAAATCCACGAACCCGGATCTACGTAACAATATTTTAATCGTATGTGAATAAAGTATTCTATTGTTTAAATCGATTTAATAAGTATTCGAATTTTGCCACATAATTTTTAATAAACATTACTGGCACCTACCAGAAGAGCATTTAACTAGTCCTTACAAATCACAACCCGTTAAATCCATATTTATGAATAGTACAATAAATATAGATCGTCCCTTCGGGAATTTCACCGAGCTAAATCGTACTGCCACCTGTATGGTGCTCAAAGCTAAGGCCAACGACAGGCGTACATCTAGCCCATTGCCACGATGAATTTTGTGGGCCTCGATCTGACTACGTCAGACAGGTGGCATGAGCAACAACAACAATAAATATGGGTTAATTTAAAAAAAAAATATTTAAAAGCTTAAAAACCATAATACATTTTTTTTTCATATTTAAAAAATAATGTGTTCACAAAATACAATAATGTGTAAATTCAATTTTCGCATGCAATTGAATTTCATAATTTCGCTTTTTACGTGATAAAAAGTTTCACATAAATAATTTTTTGATTTGCAATGTGCTTTGAAAAGGAAAAAAAAAAAAAACTTTATTTTAATTGATTAAAATACATGTAAGAAAGTGTTCTGATAGATGTTATGTAGAAGAATGCTAATGTTGAGTCCCTTAAGGGATCATCTGTACTGTCACAGATAATATTAATTGTTTGTTGAAAAAAGTAGAGAAATATTTACACCATTACTGATAACATTATTAATGACTTACAGCTGTTACTGAAAATTCCACAGTTAAATATTGATTAAATAGTTGAACAATAGAGTACATGCTTAATATGTTTTCATAAGAAGTAAAATTTTAAACCGATTAATTAACGTCATTCTTCGGTAAAAGACGCAATCTACAAAACTTTTCTAGGCTTTTTGTTATGTACTTCAGTATTTATTGAGAATGGCAACCACGAGACTTCCTAATATCAGAACTATTGTTTGCCTTTTAAATATGTAATTAAAATTATTAACTATGCCGTAAAATGACACAGTGCCATCTACATTTATAACATATGTGTTTATATCAGTAGCTTTATTTTATTTGTTATCCCAACTAACTGGTAACAAATCTCAAACATACTGTAACGAAATTTGTGCAAAATATTGTAAATAATTTGCATTTGAATGTTAAATGCCTGTGTCTTACTCTGAATTATATTTAATTTACTTTAAAATTGTAATATTCACAAGCAACGTCGTTCTTTACGGCATAGTGGCGATTCAATGAGATGTGGGTGAAATCTTGTCGATAGAGCCAACTTGGCATCATTTTTGGGTGACCGAGTTTTCGGCTAATTTGGCAACTATGCTGACGAGTTCGGGACCATCTGGATTCTTCTAGAATCTTGTGGAGAAATCCACTAATTTCACGCTCTATGATGCAAGCGGATTTTTTTAGCAGTTTTCCCCGGGCTTATAAATAATAAATAGAGAAGCTTGCCGAATCGAGATCCAGTCTCGCTTCAACCAGCGATTAGTGAGTATCGTTATGACTAGCGACTAATAAACTTGACTTGGCCGGGAATACCGATTAGCTCGGCTATGCTTGTGATAATCTTTTACATACGTGTATTTTAGACACTGTCCATTGTGTCTGAGTGCTGTTGAAGGTGAACAGACCTTTTGAGATTTATTCTACGAATATTGCTCCTGAATCCTGTATTTCGAGGATTGGATTCTTAACATTAAATTCTCATCGCTGTTAAATAATTGTTTTTCTTCTTTGGGACTGATTTGCATTCAATCCTCGAACCACGATCAACGTAACAATACTCAAATATATATATATATATATATATATAT